CCTCTGGCGAATCATCTTACTGTACTGAACGACTCTGCCATCACACATCTTTCGCGAAAAAGTGTAATCCTTTCGCGTCTTCTTTCGCGAAACTTTCGCGAGTCCATTAAACTAGCTGAAATGGTCGCCCAAGTATAAACCGAAGACAAGGACCTTTAGAACAACCCTCATATCGTTTAAACACATATGCACCATATACGAGTATATGTGTGTATATACACAGGTCAATGTACAACTTATATCACGGTCAGTTACGCCGCGGCTTGTCAATCTGTTGCAGAGGGCACCGGGCCTACACTCAGCCAGCACTGAGCCACTTCTTCTGTTGCCTGCAAGCAGGATGGGTTAGCTTGTCCCCGCACCCAAATAGTGGTATGGGGATCCCAAAATAGTTGCCTTTCTCTCTTGTGTTCACGATTTATGCATATCGCCCCCCTTAAGTAGATAGAATACGGGGTATTTGGGGATCTTACTATAATATACCCAAAGCCATATTCTATCTACTTAAGGGGGACTATAGGAGGTTGCCCAAGCAGATCGGATCAAAAAATGCAAAAGCAAAGATCTGATTTCCTGGATCAAGTCCATCAACTGTTGGGAGCTTCTCCCCATAGGCCATAGTCTAAACTGCTAGCATCCCCCTTAATAACCCCTATAGTACAGGGTTTAGGGTTTAGGGTTTAGCCCCAAGAATAGAGAATCAAATAGAAAAGAACATGGAAAATGAAGAGGCAACTGGGATTAAATAGGGGATTATAGGGTTTACAGTTTAAACTCCTATTATCCCCCCTAATGACCCCTGGTATACTCCCCTATGTGATCGCGTATATAATCCCTTTCAAGAAATTTAGACCATGGCTCAAATAAGACAAAGCTTTCAAGGACCCGTGCGGCTGTTAAGCAGCTAGAATAAGGTGCTTTTCATCGGTCCCCTTTTAAAGCATATAATATAGGAGTTGCTTTGAAAACTTCCATGTCCCGTCTAGAGCATATAATTTAGGGTTGCTTTGAGAAACTCCCATGTCTGCATCTCGACGCCGCAGGCGGCATTCTCTGGATTTGGAGCCTCTGGGTGTGATGAGAGGTAAGCGGCCTTGGCTGAGAAAGCAGCCAGATGAACTCCACACTGGCATCATAAATATATATATATATACACCCAGTATATTATTGTAGTTTCCATGTTCTTTTCCATACTCCCAATATAACCCCCAATAGAATCCCTATAATAATATAGTAGCTTCCATTTTCTTTTCCATTATTCCACTATAACCCCAATGTAATCCCTATAATAACCCCCAATACTACCCCAATATAACCCTAGTCTCCTTACAGGATTTTGAAAGGATACGTTCAGGGCGATCATCCCGTTACAAGGGTCCTGTCTGTTAAGGCCCATGCTCTCTTGTCAAATCTACACAGAGGAACAGAATTTCTAGCACATGAAGAGAGGCAAAATGAGAATACAACGTCTGTCACTACGATGCTAACTAATGCTGCCTGTCTTATTATGACTGTAAGCACCGACAATGTAATTTGCACTTTCATGCATCACGAGCACTACAACTATAGTCCACTTAAGTAGATACAATATGGGATATACGGGGATCTTATTATAATATACCCAAAGCCATATTCTATCTACGTGAGGGGGGACTACACCATTATCCTAACTCTCTATAGCAACTACCTCCAGTCCAGGGCCGGTACTACTTGCAGGATTCGTTTTGCCTGGCGGGAGCATGTCAAGGCCTTCTGCCTAACAGGCTCAGCACAGATGAACTCCATACTGGCATGGGAACTTGCCCCAAGGCTTCGTTGGTCTTACTAGTACTGTTGATGGCTGAAATCTTGCGCCACCTGAAGTCTCTAAAATCCTAGGAGATACAGTAGGTTTAGGGTTTAGGGTAGTTCTACATAAGCTTGTGATGATTTCTGACTTCAAGGCTTCCTCGGAAACAGGACAGGCGGGCCCCATCCACGTGACCGCTCTTCCAAAAGGTGGCCTCAGGCCAGCTACTACACTCCTGGAAAATAGCATGGAAACCCAAAAGGGACCCTATAAAGCCAACAGTCTCTCTAAAATGGGGCTATATATGGGTTTCGATGTTAGTTTGGGGGAGTGTATTGCTGTTGCTATCCACCCATCATGATTACCATTGCTGCATAACGCTTACTAGAATTGGTAATTTCCGCAAATGGGACCCCAATATGGACCCCAAAATACTATAATCCATATCAAAGGACCCCCAAAAGGGTACCCTTGATTTTGGGAAACCCTAACCCCTGAACCCTACTGTATAGTCCTATATTACCCTATATGTTATCTTATATACGGCTACAGAACCCCTATGCTCCCTTAAAAAAGGAACACTATTGCACAAAGGCATCAAAAGCACCACAGCGGAAACATTGATCCCCTCCCCCTGATATTAAACCCCCCCACCCCCCTAATATTCACCATTCCCAAGAAAGTAAAATGTAATATAGCAATAAGGCGTATTTAATATTAAGGGGGGTGGGGGTTTGATATCCGGGGGGGATTAAAATTCGTAGGTCTCCGGCCAGTAAGCCCCAGAGCTGCCTTTCCAGGCTGCTTCGGGTTCAGGGTTTAGGATTTAGGGTTTAGGGTTCAGGGTTTAGGGTTCAGGGTTTAGGGTTCAGGGTTCAGGGTTTAGGGCTTAGGGTTTAGGGTTCAGGGTTTAGGTTATACAGGATTGAACTGGGGGATCTGGGGGTGACGAATTAGGAACGTCGGAGGAATGCAAACACATGCACAGATCTGCGACGGCATTACCTAAACCCCTAACCCCAGATCACAAATCAATATTATAGTAATAACAGATTCCATTTCACTATCTATGTTGCTTTCGGTTTTATTATTCATCTTTACTTCACATTATTACTATAACCTGCCCTAAACTCTAAACCCTAAACCGGGTCTGTCGGCACACACCCTCTTGGCCTGGTTTCCACTTCCAATGTACTCGAGGCTGGGCCAAGGGGCCTTGGCGACAACAAACCCATTCTAAGCTAGCCTCAGAACCCCACTAGAAATTAATTTTTTTGGTTGTTATTGGGATTATGGTAACCAAAAATTAAAAATCATTTTGGAGGCCCCTATAGGATGGGGGTTTCCAAAAGTCTGAGGCTACAATTCATCCAAAAAACCCTGACCCCTAGACCCTAAGCCCAAAGGCATATAATGGTGGAAGGAGAGCCGCTACTTGCGGAAAGCCCCACATCACTGTCGACATCCTTCAGTCTGACAAGAGGGCTGCATTGTAGTAATTGTACATAAGCCGTTCTGGGGGTCAGTAGAGAATGAGGGAATATATTACATGGGATTGAATAGGGATTACATTGCCTTATTCCGAACTAAGAACCAGTAAGAAGATTGACTCAGAAGGGGGCGCGTGATTCTGAAAAGAGCCTGCTGGCTGGCCGGCTTGCCCACAGTCCATGCAAAACGCTTTTCGGCTCTGGTGCGATGGTCTTCTTAGAGGGTCCTAATCTGCCGCAAGCCTTCTAAATAAGCCCTGCATAGTTGATATAATATATAATATCATGTAATACTATTTCTATATATGTAGATAATACTATTATGAATATATAAATATATCCCTAGAGCTAGGAGTGATCTCGAGGAGGCTGCTATGAACCCTATAATTCTCCACGAAGCCACGCTTTGGTGGCAGCTTGCAAACTGCAATCGGAGTTTCGCAAAATTTGGGTTGGTTTTAGGGTTTAGGGTTT